ATAGGACTGGGTTTTAGCTAAATCCAGGACATATAGCTATCCATAGGAGAAGAAAATTTGAACACAAATGTGTGGAAGGATTTTCCTCTCTTCTTCATTAAAAATGCTCATAAGTTTTCTAGAAAGAGATTTGTGTAGTTGACAAAATCAAAAAAGAACCAACAGCTTTGGTGATCACCCAGAGGGTTCTTCTGCCAAATTAAAGCCCAACAAAGATACCTGTTTCAACAAGACAGTGTACATCTTGTGCAAAAGTAGAGAATCTGGACTGTAAATAGTTACTAATTGTGGAGAGCTGTAGCAGTGCTTGTGTAGTGCTTGAGAATGATTTACAGTGTAATGCCTGAGGATTGTTTACAGGGCTGAGAATTCTCGGTATAAGATTATTTTTTCTGATCTTTCCAAGAAGAGTGGGCAAGGGTTTCATAGCTCTCACCAGTAGTTCTTAGTTGCAGAGTACTTTGGGTTTTTGAGTTTGCTGTAGGGGAAGAGAGTAAGGCACTTCTTTTTTTTAACTAACCTAAATATACAGTTATGTCGACCTTGAAATGATAAAGCTTCTGCTCTTATTTTCTGTTTTGCATGGCAGTGTTTTATCCAGCAATACCTTCACACTGAGTATAGACATTTTAAATCTATCTTCTGCTGAGATACGCAGAAGGTCCCCCTAGTTAATTGCCCCTGTTATTTATGTGTCAGATAGCTTTTTATTTTTATTTCTTCTTTCCATCAAAGCTTGAGCATATAGCAGTTTAGATTTCAGAATTCACACTGTAGGTAGTGATCTGTGCTGTCTTCCTCTGGCAATGCTCACCTGTTAATCAGAGCCTGTATTGTGGGAGTGGATGCATTTCTACCCCAACTGTTTTTATTGGAAAGAAAAGGTAAAAAAGGATATTGTCATTTTTCCTTAACAAGTGCTTTCTGCCTTTAAGAATATGGACTGAGATTTGGGTACATTTCTATTCGGTAATGAGCTCTGAGTTATTAGCTAATTATTGTTTTTATTAATTTCCTAGTGATTCTTAATCAAAGGCAAATTATCTCCTGGAAGGTTTGTCTCTGACTGAGGCAGGGGGAATATTGCTGTGAATTGCATCTAGGTTACATTAACACAGAAAGCTGGACCCACTGGACCGATCATCAGCTCTGTCGACAGTTCCTGAGGCTGTGGTACCCAACCAAACACCTTTTGCAGTTACCATGGGTGAAGGAAACACACCTGATGTGCAAGGCCAAGAATTAGCTGCTAGTTTAACTAAAGTCCTAAGAGCCTGCTGAAAGATTATTATTAGATCAATTACAATGATACTGATGCTTATAGCCCAAGTTACCAAATTGTAAGAGTTCATTCCTGATAATGATACAGACATATGTAAGCTTTCAGGTGTCCAATCCTTTTTTGGTGTTACTGTCCTCACGAGAAGCAAAGGGAGGTGTCGTTGCAAGTTGTCATCACCACGAGTTTTCCACGTGGAGGAGTGTGATGTTTGATATTGGTGGTTTCTTCCTCCTTTTTGCCAGCAAAGAGAGTGAAGTTTGACGGTTTCTCTCTTCTTTCTCTGAGGTCCATTTTGGATCATTTTAATATATTTATTAACACAAATATGTGCTCCAGTGATTCCCAATTGCATATTGTAGTGAAATTCGCTATGTATAGTTTTTTACGTATACTGAATGCTACTTTTTTTTTTTAATCTCTAAACCTATTTTTACACGTATTTTAAAGTTCCATGTCTTTAGCAAGCAGTAATTGAAAACTAGTGAGTAGTTTATAGCCCTGGTACCCTGTTGTCATCCTGTTCTTTCAACTTCCAAGGCCCCTGCTGTGACCTTGCACTTGCCCTTTTTGGGTCTGTGTTACAGTCCTGGTTTCCTTCAGCATCCTCCAGCTGTGATTTACTGATAACTTAATACTTTCTTAACACAATGTGGTGACATGTACGTCCTTGCTCTACAGGTACTAATATTTCAGTCTGCAATAAAAACGATGCAGTAGAAGACACACATAAATGGAGACATGTGCTTGGTACCAACATCTGGTACTCATAGTAACATTAGTGGTATGTTATCGAAGTTACTTTACAACACATTTCATTACATAGTTGAAAAAGGAAGTATGATTCAAATCACGGTATTAATTCATTTTGCCTTGCAAGATGCAGTCTTCACATTTAATATTCTTTTCTTTAATCTTGTGTATTTCTCAGGGTAGTTTGTGTGAACAGTATTAAAGGTTGGGTTAAGGAGAACAGATCTTGTCTGTGCCAGTTAGCGCTTGCTGTGAGATATGTGTCAAAATTTGCAAAGGCCCATTCTTGTCTCAGTTTTCACTGGTCAAATTTTATACATTCTTTGAAGAAGCTTGTTATGGTTGTGAGATAATCTCTGGCAAGGACCAGATCTTGCTGATGAGAAGCAATTTCTGAACAGAGCTTTGAACGGCTCAGTGATCCAGTATAAAACTGATAGGAGAAAGTGATTGTAATTTAGCTCTGACACAAAGAATTAAAATAAAGAGCTCACTTTAAAGGAACTCATGTTTCTCCTTCAGCCAATCAGACTTATTAGAGTATCCTTCACAGATTATGGAAAATATCCTTTAGAGAACCTGGCTGTAAATCTTAATTCCTCATTTTCAGTCATTGTGCACAATATAGAGACTGGAAAGATTTAAGATCTGATAGATTCATTTCAGTCTCTGTGGCAGTTTTTCTTAAAATGTCAGTGACCAAAGAGCTTGAAATTTCTGCTTGCAATTTTTAATCTGTATGTAGAAAGGCTATTGTTTCCTCCTTTAGTAAATAAGAAGTAATAATCAGAAGAATAGCAGCGTGAACCTATGGAGAACTTCAGTGCTGGAGACCCAGTGAACCGTTTTGATCAAGGTGAAAACCTGGTGGGTCACAACAGACACCAATAGGTGTTGGAGTGTGCTCAAATGAAAAGTCGTAAAGATCTCAGAGCTGCCAACTGTATTATTCATGCAGAAAACAGTCTCCAAAATGAGCCAAGGAGAGCCTCAAGAGCTGAGCCACCCAACACTTGTGTGTTCATGTAGCCATCTGTTTTGTGGTCTTACCATCTCCCACTAGACAGTCATTCTAAAGGGAGGTCCAGTATTACTTCTCCAAAGAGGTGTAGAGGTGACATTTCTCTGACAGTAGTTCTTGGTGAAGATGTCGTTGCTCCTGTGAAATGATTTAGGGCAAATGTAAGCTGCTCAAGATTTTTTTTTTTTTTTTTCCAGTTGCTTGAAATTTTCTGGACAGACTTGAGATGGCATGCTGTGGAGCTCTTATTATTTGTGTGTGCAAAATTGTAACTGGCCAGAGTATGCTCAAAAATAGTATTCTGGATGCTTCAACTTCACCATTGGTGGGAAAGGAAGGTGGTAGATAATGCTGTGGGAGCAGGGAGTGGCTCACGATGTCTGAAGTGATCCGTGCTGGGTTGTCCCTCCGGAGCAGCGAAGATGAGCAGTGACCTCTGAGGGCAGCCCCATGCTGATGGCCACCTGTGTCCTCCCCGAAGTGTGGAGTTGAGCCATGGTCTCTATAGCGTTGCTCTCTTCTCTAACAGCACTAACAGTAAACTTTTCTTGACAGGATTTTAAATGTTGCTTTTTTTTTTTTTAATTAGAATCCTAAATGGCGCAGGGGTGAATGTAAAGGTAAAGTGATGCTCAAAGAAGTGATGTGTAGTGATCTTGTCTTTAATCTTTGTGGCTGAAGAAGCTTCCTTAAGTGTTGCTGAAAATTTCCATGGTGATTTGAAACCTCTGCTCTCCCTGAGCTCAGCAGGAGGTTTCTCCATTGACTTCAAGAGGAGAATTAGGCCTAGAGTCATTATAATACCTTTAAATTAGAGACTAGCGTATGTAACCACTTTCCAGATGTACAAGCGTGTGTCAGCTTTATGTTCTTTTCATTATTATCTGGTATAATTAATTTGATAGGCGAGATGCTAATTCTCTATTTCTCTGCTGTTTTCTTTGGTCTCGGACTTAATATTTATGGAGTGTTCAGTGGATTTTTGCTGAAGCTAACAAAAAATATCCTACAGCTTGCAGTAAGATCAGGCTGTTGTTACACACGTGGTTAGTAGCTATCACAGTGAAATATTCAGTATGCAGCGCTCAGCAATTCTGCAGGCTTAAAACAATGTGGTTTTGCACAATGGCAATGCTGCGGCCATTTAGTCAACTTTAGAAAACGTAGTTATCTAGAAAGAGAAGCAACCAAAGTCTTAATTTATTATCTGTGACCTGTTATTTGTCAAAGTCCTGGAGCCTTGTTGAACAGTAAGCCACAACACTATCTGAATCTTGCAGCAGGGGACGCTGGAAAGGAGCAGGCACCAGGATGATGTCAAATGAAACACGAGGCTTACTCTGCTGGGCAGAGCATTAATCATCACATAATGAAGTACGTGTTTATTTCTGGCAGATAATTTCTGAAGGAAAAGTGTCAAAAAGAATAGATAGCGAAGAAAGATTTCTTTTTCCTTCTATGGCTCCAGTGTGTATCTTTTGCAGTCACCTAATCAAGAGTAATTAGTAAGACCTTCCTCAAAGATAACTAGCTTTCATGTAAATTATGGGTGCAGGTGTGCCAAATATTTAATGTCTTGATTTTCCTTGTGCTTTTTAAAACGATTAAGTTTTTGGGGGGTTTTTTGGTTTTCATTTTAACCTCAAGTTTCATTTATTTTTTCCCTATGAACTTACATAGAAAAATCTAACTAAACTCGAGACTTTACAAGAAAAGTTCTTCATACATAAGCATGAAGTAGCCTCAAAACCTAATTGTATTTCATGATAAAATAATTTTAGATTTTGTGTTACAAAAGTAGAAAAGGCGAATGTGAATTTTCAGTTGTATAACATAATACATGTATTTAATATATATTTCTAGGATCCAAATATAAAAGGTGGTTCAACAGTTCTTTTTTGCAGGCTACACAACAAACTGAACTACTGTGTATTGCTCAAGTGTGCTCATGAGCAAATTACAGTGTGTGAACATTTGTGCTACATCAGTTCATTTAAAGTGAATAAAAATCTCCTGAATCATGAGGAATCTCATTTTCTCATCATCCTTCTGCCTTCGGGCCCATGATGGACAAGTAAAAGACCCCCAACCTTCCCTTCCTCTTAACTGATCTCTCCCCAGTCCGGGGTGGTGCTCATGACAGGGCTGGAGAAAAAGCACAGTTTCACTTCAATTGAGTTTACCTGTTCAGCAATATTGTGGGCTCCAGGGACTTGCTATTTTTAAATGCTGCATATATCTCTGTGTGTTAGGTGGGTTTTTTCCTAATATTAAAAGACCATCAGGAGGGTATGGCTGCAGTTCGTTGCAGGAGGAGAGGAAAAGGATTATTCACCACCTGCATGTTCCTTGTCATCTGGCAGGCTTAATATTTGATCACATAAAATGTACAAATTTGTTGGAGCTGACAGTTTTTAAGAAAAGGTTTAAATTTTGTGGCTTAAAGTGAGATGCATACACCTATAGGCAGAGACACTTAGAAGCAGCTTATAACTTGCAACAAACTGCAGGTTATTCATAAGCCAGCAGTCAATCAATGTGATTTATTAAAGGCCTCTTAAAGACAGAGTGAGTGGCCAGTGTAGTCCAGACAGTGATAAAATGAGAGGTAAAACTAAAATTGTAAAAATGGTGGTTGGGAGGAGTTACCAGCTTCCTGCTCACCAGCATGAGATCCTTGAGGAAGAGGGGACTTTTTTCATGTCTTGAATTTGTGCAAGGTCAGAGATCCCACAGCCCCTCTGGGCAACATGTGCCAGTGCCGCAGCACCCCAGCAGGCAAGAAGTGACTCCGTCTGCCGCATAGCCCCCTGTCAAGCAGTTGTAGGATGCTGTTAAAATTCCCCCGCCCCGTTCCTCTTCCATTACTGGAATGCTTTATAGCAATTAAATCCGTACTTGTCAGCAGGAAAAAAAAATATTACCCATTAATTTCTTCCTTAGCCTATTTATTTGAGTGGTTGAATTACTAATATCATTGAGAAATCTTGACATTTCTCCTTTCTGTGGAAATAACTTGACGCTTTTTTTTTCTATAGGCTTTACAAAAGGAGAATTTTATCTTCTTCAAAAAATATGGACGATGTAGTTATGAAGAGTGTGTAGAATTGCAGACTAAAGCACAAGTGAAGGGGTGCTACCTGTCATGCTGTCTAAAGTGAAAGATCTCTAGTTGCAGAAGAGTAAACTATATATGCCCACACAAACCACCAAAGACAGAAGGCAAACATGTGTTTTACATCCTAGTAAGCAAGGTTTTCTGCTTTATAGAGCATGTTTCATTCCCCATTCGAGTGTTTACAGGTATTACAGGAGCTTTGATCTATTCATTTGTTATTTATAATTGATTAAGATCAATTGCAAAAGGATACTAATCTGTTTTGGTGTGACAAGTGTTTGTCTAGTGAGTATGTTGTCACTCTGTCATACTATAATTCACATAAAGAAGCAATAAACCATCTCAGTTAACAGGGAATATATTGACAGCAGTCGTATAGTATTCAGAGACAGGGGAATAGCTGCTAGAGTAATCACCAGGAGCAAAGATATACATATCTTTAATCCCTGTATTAAGCAGTAATCAGATTTTTAAAAAAAAAAAACACACGATAAAAAACAACCCACAACTGTATACAAGCAAAAAATATAGATTATTAACAATTAAAAATATGTTTTATGTTATATACGGATTCAGAGGGAAGAAGTATTTAGTTTTTAGTAGATCCAAATGCCACCTTTGTGCCACCTGCATGACAGCGCTGAATTACCAATGCATATTCTCCATGTTAAGTACTGCTCAATATATAAAGGTCTGTAGTAACCTACTTATAGTATTTGGGCTGCAGCTTCAAGTATTTTATATTGGGCTGCAGCAAGAAAAGGAAGGATTATTCTGATGATTTGTTTTTAAATGCAAACGTTCATGTAAATTCATGATTCAGTGACTGCTAGAAATATGCTCATTTTTCCTGATTAAAAATAAAAAGGCAATAAAGCAGCAAAATTTGATGCCATAGCTATTAGATTCTGTAATTTTACACATCCGTTGATCAGAAACTGAATTTATGGTCTACGTATTTTCTGCATTGTAAAAGACCACCTAATTTAATTGTTAGTTTAAGGTCAAAAGCAAATTAGCATAATAATATCTG